TACATGGAGAATCATGAGAGAATACTGCTACAACTCAGCACCAGGCAGATCACTTGTTCAAGAAAATGCTGGCCTCAGAAAAGAAGTCTGTAGGGTCAAACTATTTTTTTTTTTTTTTTAAGTTTTTAAAACTTAGCGTAGAAACCAGTGGGCTCCATTAGGGTGTTTCCATTCAAAGTTTGCTTGGGTTCATCATCCCTATTGCTCCCCTCTCCAGCTCTGTCCCACCCCCTGCTCCCTTCCCCCTAGGAACTTCTTTTCAGCTTATGTGTCACACTCCCTTGTCTCCTTTCGTTTTCCTTATAACCCCTCTTCATAATTTCCAGTCCTTATCGTTTTCCATGCAAATATCGTGGTTTTACTTTTCTTTGTGGCTGAATGTTTTTATAAGAACTTTCTTAAAGCATGGATAATAAAAACCTAGAGACAGATATTGGGGTTCAAGCTGAAGCTCAGAAGAGCAAAGCAGCCAGCCGTAGAGAGTTCTCACATCTACCAAAGCTGGGGTGATCCCGTCCTCAGTGAGACTGCAGTGTGAGTTCCCTGACCTGCATTCCTCTATAGTGCAGGGATTAAAGGCATGCATCACCACTGCCCAGCTTCTATTGAGTGGGGCTGCTGGGATTAAATGTGTGTATCACCACTACCTGGCCTCTATGGCTGTGGCTAGCTCTGCATTCTGTATCATCACAGAATGTGATGTGCAAGGCACAGGCTTTGAAACCATAGCACAGGCTTTTTGAATTATAGCTTTGTTATTTACAGGTTGTACTTGCAGTTTCTGAAATTTTAAAAAGGACATAAGGACAGAGAACCTACTCTCAGCCCAACTGAGGAAGCTAAAGAAGCTAGCATGGTAAAATACCTGGTTCAAACCATAAACATCCCACCAGGAGCCAACATGTTGTCTGGCCCGACACTACTGCCCCTGGCCATGTCTGCGTCAGTGGTTAGGCTGCAGCTGGGGGGGGGGGGTCTCTGTTGATGTCTGTGGCCTGTGTCACTTCATAGAGTCCCAGAAACCATACTTGATGGAATCAGAGAGTCATGCTGAGTAGGTCCTACCCTTCACTGGCACTAGGATATCTGGCTCCTGGTCCTTCATGGATGCTGCAGCAAGAGATATGGCACCCACCCTCATTGGATAGCTGGCCCTAGCACTCAAAAGAGCTGGCCTCACCCCTTACCATGGGCAAAAAAGAGCTGACCCTGATGGCATTGGTACTGGGGGAGGTAGCTGGATCTACCCCTTGCCTAAGGAGGGTGGCCCCAGAGGCCTAGTCAGACCATCTTACCCAGGCTTATAGCTGGACCTAGGGTTAGCTCACCCTAACATCTACTCTATCTAGGATCTACAGGAGTCCCTTAAGGGGCTGGTCCTGTGTAACAATACCCTCAGGATCTCCATGACTCAGGATGGCTGCAAGAGATCCAGCCAGAGTTCCTGTAAGGATCCAGTGATGATGGTGTACCAGAAACCAGAGGTCCTGACCCAGACCAGTAGCAACTCATTGCAGTGAGTTAACATTTGCAAGTAAAGTTGACTGGACCAAAGGGTGTACCATATGACATACTATGATTTCCTATGCAACCAGGACACATGAAGAGGTGTTAGAGAGGCTGGGAAGGTGGAGGAGCAAGGAAGAGTTTTCTCCTTGTAGAATAGGACCCCAGCTAGCAGTATCATCCATCATCTTTATCACAGCAGTAGAGAGTGAATTAGAACAGTGCTTTACTGTATGTTTCAGAGTGGCCTTGAACTGCTGGATGGAAGACATGGGGTGAAATAATCTTCATGCAAAACAACATTACTGTATGATCTTCCCTATACAGGAAATCTAAAAACTGTTGTAATGAGGGATGGCACGGTGTCAGCCGAGTCTGAGCATTACTTGTGACCAACAAGGAAGGGTTTATCTGGCTTATCCCTTCTGATCACTGTTTATCTTTGAAGGAAGCCAAGGCAGGAACCGAGGAACCGAGATCCTTTTGGCTAACTCTACTACTTGCTTTCTTATGTAACCCAAAACAATCTGCCCAGGGATGGTACCGCTTAGAGTAGGCTAGGCTTCCTACATGAATCTACAAAGGAAACGCTCCACAGGCCTGCCCATATGTCAATTGGATGGAGGCTATTCCAACTGAGGTTCCTTCTTCTAAGTTGACTTCTGCTTGTGTTAAAAACAAACAAACAAACCATACACTCAACCAGGAGAGACTCCTTTCTGAGAAAGAGAGAGAGAGAGAAAGAGTTCACTGAAGTACAGTGTAGAATAGTGATCACCAGAGAAGCCAGGGGATAAGGAGTGTTGATGAGATGCTGTTGAAAGGATATACAATTTCAAGTGGATAAAATGAACAAATAGTTTCACTGTACAATATAGAACTAAAGTTAATACCGGTGTTTAATAGCAGAGCATCAGGGGACTTAGTTAAGAAAGAGGGGAGAACATAAGTTGACTTACATATAATTCTCCAGATAAATTTTTGTGTTAAATTGCATGTTCAATAATATTAATTCTTAAAATATGAGTGGAAGGAACGATATTTATAAATTAATATACTGTTTTGTTTATTTACAAATATTGTGAAGTATCTGCCTGCTGCATCTATAACTTTTAAGTTTTCTGTCTGGCAAAATAATAGTGGGCATTTTATACAACACGGAAGATTACTTTAAATTTCATGTGTAAGCAATTCCGGCTACCAGAGATATTTGCGCAGTCTTGAGAAGAAAATCAAACTTCAGTTTTCATCTCGGAGCCTCATGGGAGAAAAACAAAACAAAATAAAACAATAGAATTAGATGTATCAGGAGTTACTATTTCCTAGGTTCTTTAGATGAGTAATCACACTGTGCTCCAGTAGACATTGTTTTTACTGATAGAGAAGCAAGGGACCCAAATGTTAGTAGAATGTGCTCAAACTGCCTCAGCAGTTTGGTACATTTAATTCCATTATGAGAGCAGCCTCTTTAGGCCCAGCCCTATGGTCTTCACCTGAGGCAATTCCTGGAGTAGATTGGCCTGGAACTATCCCCCCCCTTATAGTACTACATGATTGTATAAGTCACTCACCTCCCAATTTCTTTAGGTTTCTTATTTGTGGATAACACCACTATTTCCCCTTTCTTCAAAGAGTTGCTGACATCATTCCATGAGCTCCTACAAGTAAAGTGCACAGAGCAGCAGCTGTCAATGTGTGTGGTCTGTGGATGTCAGTGATGCTATGAGGTTAGACAAAGGGAATACGAAGAAAGGAAGAGAAAGAGGAGATCTGGGAAGGAGGAGTTTCCATTCATCACTTCTTTCATGACAATGCAGTAAGGGTCAAAAAGGGACCAGAGCAACAAAGGCAGAGGAACAGGTTTAAGCAGTTCCATTTGCTCTGCTGTCAAAAACCTAGGAAGTAGGGGTAGGGGCAGGTCACCTTGGAATAATTCCAGCCTCAATGGAAAACACTGGGAATGGATAAGATCTCTGTACATTAATTCTTATAGAAAGTCAATGTCTTTGACTACTTTGTCCTCTTAATGCCTCACTTAAATAATTTATGTAGTGCTAATACAACCTAGATGTACCCATTTAATCTGGTATCTACTTCTCAGCCTCTTTCTGCTTCGATTAAGCCTGCATTTAAAAAAAGTGGAAGAATTATTTCAATTCAGAGTTGTGGCATACATATAAAATATGTATCGAGTATTTGGCTAGAGACTGGTAATTAACAAGCAATTAATAATATGAGACTGGCTTAGCAGTTAGAGACAGCCAGTGGTGGAGTGCAGTTTTATTTATTTGTCACTGCCGCTATGAAATCACTGGAGTACCTTGCAAGACTGATTTCTCTTCCTGGGGGAGAGGGCAGCATCCAGGGATTGTTTTGTAGCTGTTTATCATTGCATGTTCACTGTTCTCTGTCCAAATAACCAGACAGACCAGTTTTAGAAAACAAAACAAAACAAACAAACAAAAAACCAAAACAAAACCAAATAAGCAACAACAACAATAACAACAAACTAAAGGACAAAATTAAGGAACTAAGATATGGTAAGGAGACCCCAACCCTATCTCATGAAACCAGCCAGGGAAAGTCAATTGAGGACAAGTTAAGCTTGACCTCCTGAGACACCATACCTGATGTAAGAACACTTGTGTATTTATAACCTGTCTTGTTCAGAGAAGGATTTAAGAAGGCTAATAAAGATGAGGGGAAAAAATAAATAAGAACTGTTGGGAAAGAAAGAAAAAGACGCCAAGAATATGGGGCTATGATGAATCCAGAAAAGAGCCACATGAAAAAAATTTATTCTAAACACCGTGGAAAGCAAGAATAAAAGACAAACAAATAAAAACAACTCCCCAGACTTTGGAGAAAGCCAAGGAAATTTGCTTTAGCCTGGGTTGTTAGTCTGAAGGCAGTTGGCGATGTGGATTGACAAGGCCTGGCCTCCACTCTGTGAACTTCACCCATTATCTAATTTTCATAATAAGGTCTGTGCCTCATGTAATTGCTTCACTGTCGTCAACAGATAGAGCGCAAAGATAAGCACTTTCATGTTTTAAGAGAAAGAGACATTCAGGTAGGTAATCTATGAAAAACAAACACACATAAAAAGCCCCAAACAGTAGAATGAAGCACGTTAGGAATGACCCTACTACTGGCTGTCAAGTAGGTTTCTGGGATCCTCTCTTTACATCTTATCACCAAGATGAGACAAAGGGCTGCTTCAAAGAGGAGAAAGTCCTTCCAGACTCTCATAACCCCAAGATCTGAGACCTGGGTTCCCAGGAGTAAGGGTTCCTCTGGACACTGACTTAAGGCTGCTCCTCAGATTCATCCAGAAAAGGGGATTTCAATATCTGACCACAGTGGAGACATGGTTGAATCCTATAGAAGGGTTGGGTAAGTACACTGATTCCGGGAACCTGGAAAAACCGGTGTCTTAGATGAGCCTGAAGTTTGGGAAACGCTGAGGCAACAGGGAAAGTTCTCGGTGGAGTATGCTTGCTTCTGCAATCACAGGCAGCGGTGGAGGCAAGGTTCCGCCCCTTCGGCCACCAGCCCAGGTCAGCCGCGCCCAACCCGGGGCACCGGGCGGGCAGCAGAGGCCCGGCGAGGGTCCCTGCTGGACGGTGGCGGGTCGCACCGCGCGCCCCAGGACGCGCCCTCCCTCGGTCCCCACCGGGCGGACGCGCTCCAGGTGGCCGGCCTGGGCGGCAGCGCGGCGGCAGGCTGACTCAGCCGCGCAGCAATGCTGCGGAACCGGGACGGCCTGCCCCGCCGCCCCCGCCGCTGAGCTCGGGCCGCCCCCGCCGGCCGCGGATCCCCGCCCCCGAGGCCCGGGAGGGAGGAAGCACCCGGGCGCGGCGCCGAGCACCTGGGCGGCCCGGGCGGGCGCGGCTTCCGGGGCTGCGCGCTCGCCGAGCCCAGCCGCGTTCCCGCCTCCAGGTGCGGCGCGGGGTCCGCCCGTCGGTGACAGCGCCCCGCGGGGAGCAGCCGGCGCTGCGCTGCCCGGGGCTCGGCGGCCGCGCGCGAGGCGGGCGAGTCCCCGGGGTGGGCTGGAGGCGGGCACAGTCCCGGGTGGGTGCGCGGAGGACGCGCTTCGGGGCTCGCACAGCGCTCGGGCTCTGGGTTGTGCGGCTTGGATTGCGCTTGCTTCCCGCGAGTGGGCGTCGGAAGAGAAAGCCAGAGCCGGTAAGTGATCTATCTGTCTATCTGGAGGCTGCGCTTGCTTCTGGGATTTGACCCGCCCTGGTGACAATCCAGTCGGTGAGACTCGGCCTCATCCTGCCCCCCCCCCCACAAACCCCCGCCCCCGACCAAATGCAGCCTGGGCGAGTTCCAGGCACCAAGTTATTTTCTCGGTAGAGGTAATGACTTGGGGCTCCGTGCTCCCCCGCACCCTGCTGGTTACACACTTAAGGCGGCAGCCCTGTTAATTAACTTTAATTACAATCATTCGGCCTCCACCTGCCTGAACCCAGCACTGTACCCGGGGACCTCTCCAGAGTGCGTTTATCAGGCAACTCTTTTTTCCTCCTTTGGTGTGGGAAGCAGTTCTCGTGGGAGAATTGGTGGTGTCCATCTATTAATTGAAGTAAGTTTTATTTTTACTTCATTCGGGCTCTCTCTCTCTCTCTCTCTCTCTCTCTCTCTCTCTCTCTCTCTCTCTCTCTCTGTCTGTCTGTCTGTCTTTAAACAGTCTTGGATTTCTTTGTGGCGGTCTGGGGTTACTTTAGTTTGGAAGAAGGTTTGTGGGATTATCTCGTGAACCTTTGATGATAATTAGAGCAAAAAATACGAAAGGAGTGATAAACCACGCTGTGTGGAAAACTGTCTCAGGCTCTCTTGTAAGTTGGTAGAGCGATACCAAGTTTGTCCTTGACATATAGGACGCTTAGTGGCATATACTTTTTTTTTAAGTATTGAAATAAGCTATTTTTAAAAGTATATTTAATCGGATGTCATTGTTATTACCAATAATAGCTTTGCACTTAAAATCCCAGTATTGATTCTCCTCACTTAAGGGCTCTGCACCAGAAGCGTATGGAGAATTTCCTGTGTGCAAGTGGAAGGTAACTATGTGTGCAATAAGTTTTTACAGAAAAGGAATATCTATACGATTTTTTTAAATGACTTTTATGCACGTACAAGAGAAATGTGGAGGGCAAAGGCACTTGGTATTTCACCATTTAACAATGTTTAAAAGAGAGAGAGAGAAAAAAAATGTGGGTCGTGCAAGTAGGCTACATCCTAAAATGGAAATATCCCCTGGCTCCCATCCAGGAAGTGATTGAACCCACATTTAAGGTGGGTCTTCGCACCAGGAGGGCAGTATATTGACCTGATGTGTCAGAGCCAAATATTTTCTTTTTAAATAAAATGTACCTAGAGGGTAAGTCAAATGGCTTGTTAAAATGGATTTATGTGGATCTGCTGTCCTGTATTTTTTTTTTTTAACCTTCCTCTCCTTAGCCTGTCAGATGAGTTTTATGGGTTGTCTGTGAAAGGAGAGGCTGATGGTCCACTCCAGAACAAATTCTTGTTTTCCTGGCATCTCAAGTTCCCCGCTATGAGGCTCACGGGCACTTAGTGAATGCTTTAGTTGCCATGGTTAAGTAGAACTCAGGTTATAATGAATTGCACTTTTGAAAACCTGCTTCTGGGTCTGGGTTATAGACTTGGTGAGGTCCAGGAAGAAGACATCTTTTGTTTTGTTACTTTCTAACACACTTCCTTGCGACTAACTAACTCTGTGGTGAAAGTGACATAAAATTCAAAGCACAATAGCTTCTGTTGCTACAGCTCCCACTGCTTCCCTTCAGGTTTATTTATTATCCATTCAGTTATTGGGCTTTGCCTTTCCACTTGGTAGACAGTGAGGTGTTTTGGATTCTTGGTAAAACACTAGTCAAGTGGATTACTTCTTATTGGTGCTGGAAATACGTCTCAACTTTAACCAAACAGGGTGAATATGAAAGAAGTATGGGATGCCATCTTAAATCATTTCTAGCTTAGAGTTTATTATTTCAGATCTCAAAAAACATACTTGCCAGGGCCTGGCTAGGTAGGTGGCTTAGCCAGTAAAGATGATTTCCACCAAGCCCGTAGTCATGAGTTTGATCCCCAATACCCAGGACCTCAAGGTGGAAGGAGAGAATTGACTCCAGCAAGTTGTCCCCTGTCTGCAATACAAATGCCGTGTCATCTCTACATATGTGCATACTTATACACACACACACACACACACACACACACACACACACACACACACACACGGTAAATACTTATAGGCCAGATGTCAACCAAATCAAATATGTATTAGTAGTGAATTCATTGGGCTTGTTTATTTTTGTTCCCTTGAGTGAAACAGCTAATGGATTTCTCATCTAATTGTTCTGTCTGTGTAGACATTTTCTTGAAGTTTTAACCCAGCATAGCAGACTTTTCTATCTATCCATGCTCAAGTACATATAGAGATACAGTGATATGGGCAAGGGAGTCATTTTGTTGAGAGAGATTTGTGAGAGGTGCAGAGAATTCTTTTCTGACGTGTGTGTGTAGTAGTAGTAGTAGTAGTAGTAGAGAAAATAATCTCAGGTGGGTTGCTTGAAGGTTTACATTTCCTAAAGGTTCTCAAAAAATAGAATGTAAGACAAAAACAAACACCAAAAGACCACCACTGACTATGCTGTGTATGAGCATGAGGAGAGCAAGTCACAGAGACTGGTCATTTCCTGGTTGTCAGATGATTTGGGTTACAGGGTGGAGATGGTCAGAGGCCTGTGCAGAGCTCTTCACACATTCTCAAGAAGTTGGGACTCTTCACTCACTCTTGCAGATCTTTGGGTGATGGATGCCACCTGCCATTTTGACATCACTCCCTGTTGAACTCTAGATTCACTGCTCCTGCTCTGCCTTCTTGGCCCTGGCCTGATGTTTATCTTCTCTCCATACACCCCCTCCATGGCCTTTGGTCCACATCCAGGTGCTAGTTTCTCCACCTTTCCTCTTGAAACCCTACCCAGTAGCCCTTACGTTGCATTTGGAAAGCCAAGACTTACAGCAGCCTTTAACTATACTCCTCAAAGTGATGGGAGATTTTATAGGGTGCTCCACCCTTTCCATCCTTTCTCAAGGACGGTGCCAGATCTCTGTGACTTAAATAAAGCATTATATTGCAAACCCTATAAAAGTCAAGGTCATACAATTTGATCCCCCCCCCCCCCATTGCTTCCTAGTAAGGTCTGTTTTGCATATGCCACATTCCTCTGAGGACATTGTTGTGTCCCCCTAGTCCTTCTTTGCTTGAACTGAGCGGTTTGTCTCAGGGCTGACTCTTTGTACCCGTGCCATTTCCTTTGCTTATTGTCATGTCTGAGCCTGGTCTTTTTTTAAACTACTGGAGGGAAGACATTGTATCTTCACTTTGTAGCCCTTGACACTGTTCACCAGTGAGATAAGGAGTACTGTTATCTTGAACTGAAAATACTTCCCACTATTCTCTTGGAGGGAGCAATGTCCCTTAAATATTTATCCAGGGAATAAATGTAAACAAGGGGGCATGTCAGTTCAGAGACAGTTGAGGTCCTTGTCTTTTGGTAAGAACAAGAAACTTGTAAGAATCACAGAATCAAGAGGAAGCTCTTGAATTCAGTTGGAAAAGAGGTCAGGGTGCTATTTATAAATGCAGAGAGGAAACATTCACAGTAGGCTATTTTGAAACATCTGGTTGTTGGTCTAAAAAAAAAAAAACGAGGCTCTTAAATTCAGAGAGATGGTGAATAGATATTTGTACTACAACACTGTGAGATGAATGCACACAAAAAGTATGTTTATGGCATAACTCTACATGTAAAGGACTCTGTACTGAGCTGTCATATTGCTTCTGGTTTTGTCTGGATTAACTGAACATTAAAGTTGTGTTTTAAACCTTCCTGCCTCTCAGTTGAAGATTTTGAAGGCATCAGGATTAGCTACAGATGTGCTACAGACTGGCCAGGGCCGGGAAAGGGCCTGTCTTCAATGGAAGAAGATCTAGGTATTGGAGAACACGGGTGGGCATCTACTACACAGATGCTGGTTTGAGCCTGCCATTTCTCATTGAACCTGTGGGAGATAAACTCTTTCTTTGGTTGCTCCCAAACCATGGCTTTCCTTGGAAGATTGTGCGTTAGAATTTAGAAGACATTTCAAACCCCAACTAATTAACTTAAATGTAGATGGGAACTTGCAGAGATACAGTGACCAAGGAGGTTATTAGGAACTTAAGTATTAAGATAATATCTAAAACACACAAACCTAGGCATTGGGCATGGCACAGTACAGTAACCCCTCATACTAATCAAAGGAACTGACTCTTCCAGGCTTAGACAGAGATACTGAATTTTAGATTGCAGAGTTGTGTTTCTCTGAATACACAGTAAGTAAAATAAAAATATCTCAGAATAATCTTTTCCCTTGATCCAAAAGCCAAATGATTTTGCTGAGAATCTGGCTATTTTAAGATCAAGTTTCACTTATTTTGCATGTAGCAGCTAATGACTAAATATTTGCAGTTTGCCAGAAACCATTCAAAGAGCCACGTGCACAGTGAACATTCAAACATTTCCCCTTACAACAGCCTTGAGTTGTATGCATTGTTATCTTTCCTGCTTATCAGAAGACAATAGTGACACTTTGTTGAAGTCCATAAAAGTTGCCTGCAGCAGAGCAGCTGGGATCTTAGGTACTTATATTGTGGTCCTAGTCCTAAGCCTACAGTCTTCCAATCTCAAAACACCATGCCTGTATCTCACTAGGTTAAACAAAGCTTTGCAGGTTTATTAGAAAAATGCATTTACAGTCCTTTATAAAGAAAATGATATTACTATGTAAGCCAAAGAGTAGCACTCAAACCGGGTGCATTCATAGCATATGATATAATTAAGTGCAGTATTGATTAGAATAGATGAATTAATAATAGCCAGCACTCATCATATGCTTGCAGTTCAAGTTAGGTCATTGTGTGTGTGTATACATTCATATATATGTGTATGAATGTATGTATGTATGTACATATAGAGTTTTCTTCTTTAAGAGAAGAGCTATATTATCCTCGTCTTAGAAGTAGGGACTCTTGAGTTTCAGAGAAGTTAAGTAATTTTGTGAAGATACTCAGTAAAACTGCAGAGAAACCTAGGTCAGGGCAATGG